CAGGTAATGAAATGAATCCATCATCAAAATGAAGAATATGAAAATGGAATACCTTTGAGAGTGATCGTCGATACATACAACTTAAATAAGGTTGAGGCTTATCATCAATTTTTCCTGCAGAGATTTTGTAGCAGACCACACAGTCAACGAGAGGCTGGAGGAATACGGAAATTGAGCCAGTAAGTAATTTAATCCACGTTTAAATTTGAGCGCTGTGGTGTCGCCACTTTATATATACTGTAGATCTTAATCGTTCCACCATAATGCAAGTATATTGTCTGTATTAAACCTAGTAACACTTTGCATGATAGTGTGTATTAGGTCAAAAATACTTTGTAATCTGGCCAGTAATCTCTTACTTTCAGCGGTTTACTCGCTAATTATCAGCTACATTACCGTTGAAAAGTTTGGGGTCGGTAATATATATTTTATTCAGCAAGGATGCATTAAACTGATCAAAAGTGATCGTAAAGACACTAACGGATTTCTATTTCCAATAAATGCTTCTCTATTCAAAGATTCCTGAAAAATAAAAACGTATCATGGTTTCCACAAAACTATGAAGCAGCACAACGGTTTAAAACATTGATAATAATAAGAAATCAAATAATAACAAGAAATAATAATCAGCATATTAGAATGATTTCTGAAGGAAAATGACTTGTTTTACTCTGACATACATCTGTAAAAAAACATTAAAGTGCTGATATTCATATTCTGACTTTCTTTGGTTCTTTGAAATGCATATTTGTGTTAAATTCACATGAAATAAATCACACTTACCCGATCATTCCTGAACGCACATGAGGTTGTATCTGCGTTCTCAGTTCCTCTTTTGCACTTGGTGCCTTTCAGATAAAAGTTATGGTAGATGTAGACGACATCAAACCCTGCCTATAGAGCAATGATAGATATTCATCTAAATGTATACAACATTTCCACTCGAAATTTAGTCGGAAACTTCCTGAGAACCAGCAACTCATTTCTGTCCTTTTTGTTGTTGGGTCGCAGGAGATTTTCATGTTTGATTTCTGACCTAAAAATGACTTGGCATCAGGAGTCTTTGTAACAAAAATCTACATGCGATTGTGTTAGAAAAACAATGATCTTTTTCTTTTAGTACCACAAAAATAAAAACATATTGCAGATCGATCAATTAAAATATTATCATCGTTAGCAATTTTTTTGACAACATGTAGTATTTGTCATTTTAGGGTTTGGCTTATTTAAATTGTACTTTAGGGAAAGATACTGATAATAGAGACAGACAGGCGATAGATGGATAAATAGATTTTAGAAAAGAGAATTGCAGAAAGGAGCATAAAAGCAGAATGAGTAGAATGGATTTACCTCAATTTCTGCCTGATGAATAGATTTCAAGAAGAGAAAATGGTCCTTGCTGGCGTGATGGGCATTGATCGCACGTAAAGCCAGCTCCACTCCTTTCTTGTAGATATCTGGGAGTTTGCTGAAGGACTCTTGTGCTTGACTGAGTGAGACTCCAGCAGAGAGCAGCACGACCCACAGCAGCACAGCCATCTTTAACCCGTCTGAACTTCAACAGCTCCTGCAAATGTCTGCTTACCCAAAAACCAGGTTAAACATTCTCTAAAACAGTCCATGTGAGCCCTGGCATGTTGTGTGCAAATCGGGGACTACATAAGAACGCTGCCACATGAAATATCTCAGAATTAAATGGGAAAACATGTGACCTCTAGATTAAAGGCCACTTAAAGGCTTTAGGGCTTAATTCTGGAAAAAAACTAAAAACTAACTGCTGACAGCTGAATACAGTTGACAGTTATTAGTTGTTTTTGTTGCTTAAAATTACATTTTAATATGCATTTCAGTGTTATTTTGGTATTATTGGGATACTCATATTTTTTAATTAATATCAATTAGTGTATATTATATTCGTTTTTTTATTTTAGTTTTATCATTATAGTTATTTTGTTGTTTTTGACATTTATTTATTTTTTAAATATGTCTATATAGTTATACTTCTTTTATTTCAGCTTTAGTTTCAGTTATCAAGTTAAACTCAATAAAAATGAGAAATGTTGACTTTGCAACTAGCTGAAATAAAAATTAAGTTGAGGTTTAAAATAAGTTAAGTATAGGCTTTTATATATATAAATTTTATAGATATATTTCAGTTAAAGTATTTCAAGGAACCAAAGTGTTATGGTTTCATTTTCATCAGTCATTACTCCAGTCTTCAGTGTCACATGATTCTTCAGAAATCATTCTAATATGCTGATTTGCTGCTTAAAGGAACACTCCACTATTTTTGAAAATAGGCTAATTTTCCAATGATATTACGCAGTGCCTGAAAATAGGCTTATTGGAAGTTACCTAGCTGGGGACTATTTTCAGGCACTGCATAATATCTTTGCGCCTGCTGCACTCATGGTACAGCAGCAAAGTTCCTTGATTATTACGCCGGAATGAGAGTATAGTTCCTAGCCATATCGGCCTAGAAAAATCACAACTTTTCATTTTCCGTTGGTCTTAGTACACGATGTAACTACAGAAGAGTCAAGTTTTAAATAGGAAAAATATAGAAACTCTTTGGTCATTTTTGAGCGAGATGCTAACGGTCTAATCAGATTCAATGATCTATGCTAAGCTAAGCTAAAAGTGCTCCCGCCAGACCCGAAGATCGGCTGAATGGATTCGAAAACGGTAAAACTCAACTTTTTAACTCTAGGGGAGTTGGAAAATGAGCCTATTTTCAAAAATAGTGGAGTGTTCCTTTAAGAAGCATTTCTTATTATTATTATCAATGTTGAAGACAATTGCGCTGCTTCATATTTCTGTAGAATAATACATTTTGAATAGAACGTTGAACAGAAAGTTCAAAAGAACAGCATTTATTTGAAATAGAAATCTTTTGTAACATTATAAATGTCTTTCTGGTCACTTTTTGATAATTTAATGCATCCTTTCAGAAAAATGTCTTCTTAAACTTTAAGCTTTGCTATAGTAACAGTAGAAAAAACAAAAACAATTTAAATTGAAGTTTAGAAAAAATATATGAATATCCAGTTTAAATAGAAAAATCAACTTTATTTGCAATATTTGAAATTTGCTGTAAATATTGCATTATGTACAGAGGAACATTTAATAATCAAATATCCAATAAACATACAAGTAAAAACAAAATGCATAAAATGTGCACAGATGGTAAATGACCCTCACTTCCTTTTGCCAAACAGCAGGTCATGCTTTTGTAACTAATATCAGCAAATGTTAAAATGACCACAATGTTCCAACATTAACCTTCAGTCTTAAACCCCGTAAAGCATCCATAAACACCATCTACAAACAAGTGCTGCTGAGTATAATCCACACTGTAGCAGCACAGCACGCAACCATATTCCTGCCTGCATTCACACACAACCTCAAAGTGCTGCTCTACGATCAGGTTTCCCAGAGTTCTGCGGGTCCAAACGTGTCTAGATGCGTCACGCAAACCTGGAACCAGTCACTGAACACGGGCAGAGGGAATGTCAAAGACAAACAACGGTGACAAAGTACAATGTGATGATGGTCCAAACGACAACACAACATTTCGTCCCCTTGGAATTATAAGGTTCTATCTGCGTGCCGAGTCATTTTGAGATACTGAGCTTCAAAGTTTTTGCATTCCATTCGACTGTGTAGATAGAACCTTTTTGTTTTTTTTAATAAAAAGTCACATTAACATAAAACAAATCTATCACATAATGTAAATAAGTTGTCACAGAATAAGAATATGTGAATAACTCAATTTCGACAAAAATGTCAGGTAGAACCTTATAATTCCTAGGGGACGATTTTATAAAAATATTCTTCATCTAATCACGTTGTACACTCAAATAATGACATAAAATGTCTAACCCATTCCTAGTCGAATAAAAATAACATCTACCCAATTTATTTTTGAGTTCACTCTTCATACGTCATTAGTTAGCGCATACATGATCTAAAGCAACATAAGACTAACATAATATCTTCCTATAGTTAAAAGATCCTAACACACATCTGATTCTGGAATCATAATTTGGAATGTAAAGAAGATGTAAAGCACTTGTTTTGTAGTTTAAAGCACAATGGTGTGAAAAAAATCCAGAGATTAAAAAAGGACAAAACTTTCCAAACAAATGTGTAATGCTACTAAAGTAACAATCATAGCACATGCTTAACTAATTTACTGTAACCAAATAGTTAAATTTGCCATTTTTATTCCTAATGGTTTGTGCTAGAGGTCTGCATTCCCGCGGTTCTCCCGTGGGATCCGACTGGATTTTTTTGTGCCACGGGATTAAATTCCGCATTAGCGATCGGTAACTCTGGTGTAATCTGAACGGGAGCGGGCGGTCTAACAATATCCCGTTCCCGACGTCCATTTAGAACAGCATATCTGCGCTTTATTCTTATTGACCACCGGTAGGGTACAGCTTGCGCTCAGGACTGTTATGCACGCGCTGCACATGCTTTAAACGTCACGAGTTTTATTTGCGGGGTCTGTGCGCAGCATGTGCATAACGCTCAGAGCAGGCTATACCGGTGGCAAATATACGGCCCTCAGACAGAACAGGCAGGTTGTCGATGAGTGACAGAGCAGAATAAGGATGGAGCAAAGTGTCAAGACGAATGAAAATAAGAAATACAATTTTTGTACAACATTACTGTGTTGCAGAAAATATTAAACAAAATTTGTGTCTTAAGATAATTCATATAAATTCAAGTCAAAGTCAATAAATTCAAGACTCTTAACAAAACTCTTAAAATTTTGTGCAGAATACACTTTTATTTGTCAGCCTCTCTTTCTTTCAGTAGCGGAAATTTAAATGTGAGATTCTGGAAACGAGATCTAAATTTAGCGGGAACGGTCGGGTTGGGAAGAAAATTATTCTAAGCGGACAGCGGGTGAACAAAGAGTGAATATATAGCGGGAGCGGGTGGGTGCGGAATAGAACCTTGCTGGAGCGGGACTAAAAATAACAGTCCTGCGCAGACCTCTAATTTGTGCACACAAAATATTCCAAGTGGAAGTGTATTGAATCTAGGGCTGTGCAAAAAATCTTATGCGATTTTCATGCGCATCTCGTCAGTAAAGCCGCTCCTGTGATTAGTAGTAAATCTCCAGCATGTGCGTTCAGATGGAGCGGCATTTACGACACAGAGTCGTAGTTCACTGATAAGCTACACAAAATCGCGTTTTACTCGAAATCGGCTTTACTGACGAGATGCGCATGAAAAGCGCAAAAGATTTTTTGCACAGCCCTAATTGAATCAAATCAGATTCACCCTATAACTTACATTAGAGATCCAAAAAGTGGGGTATTAGTGAATGATGGGGAAAAAAAATTGTGGTATTATTCAGGAATTCTGTGGCAAAATCCCTCATGAACTTACATGAATAATACGGTTCCCATTAAACCAACAAATAATTAGTAAGTAAATCAAAATCTATACTGTGTTTACTGAGAACTGGTGCTGAAAAGAACAGACTTCTGTTTTACTGTTAGTTCAATGTTGTATGCGGAAAGACTTTAAAAATGTGGTAGAAAATACCAGTTTATCAGGTCAAAATGTTTAGTTCTTATAAATGAACCATGATAAACTGAATCAGAACCCTAAACATTACAAATTTGGGATTATGTGTAGGGATGCTCTTTTTTTTCTTTCTTAAAATGTGTTTTAAGATGCCAAGCTAAGTCACTAGTGCTTCCATCCAAGGTAAAACTCATCTTAAAATTCCTCAAGACCACTTACCATCAAATATACCCACTAATACGTGGTAGAAAATGTGTCAGAAAGTACCAATTTATCAGGTCAACATATAAATTGAATCAGAACCCTAAACACTACAATTCTGGGATCATCTGTAGGGACGCACCGTTTCTTTAAATGGGTTTTAAGACTCCAAGTAGTTCACTAGTGCATCTATCCGAGCTAAAACACATCTTAAAATCCCTCATGACCATTTACCACCAAATACATCCTCTAAAACTCGAGTTCACTCGCTCTGCATGTAACAGTCAAAATAAAATATACAGCATCTGCACATCTAGAGTTATTGTGAGAGTTTAGGGTTTCATGCATTATAGCAGAGAAAACATCAGTTTAGATGGAATTTTGAAAAAGGGAAATAAGTCATGATCGGATGGCAATGAAGGAAAAAAAAAATACTGTCAAATGTATGAATTAATATATGCTGGGTCATAAATCAGAAAATAAAAGAGAAGCTAGTAAAACTATTAAAAGCACAGACATGCATGCAGCATAAGATGAAATGGACCTTGGCAATCTTTCTTGATCATGAATACTCACTATAAACTACATATAATATTGCATGGGCCCTGAATGGTGAACGTCCAGTTAACCCCATAAGGTATATTCCTTTTCCTCATAGACGACAAACACGCTTGTTTAAGGCTAAACGGTGTGATAGCAGCTCAAACTCTCTAATACAAATGAAATGAGTCTCTGGAAATGCCGGGTGGAGATCAGGTCCACGTAATGCACTATTCTCACTTCTACAGCACGTCGAGACTCGCTGTGCGATTTGGTTTATCAAGGTTTTAAAAGCAACTATCCTACTGGCCAATAGCGTGACTGACAGGAAGACAGGCAAGAGACGGACAGCTGTGGTCGTGGCTCAGACTGGCATGTGCATCTCGGTGTATTCGTCGTGACCCTCCTTCTCGTCAAAAGTAGGCTCTGCGTCATCAGCGTCCAACTGAGAGTGAGAAGAGAGACAGAAAAGCCACACAAACAGCATTAGTCAGCATGATTTTGAATTGATCTTTTTGTGCATGATACATCTGTGCACTATGGAAGCCGGTTTCCGCCACTGAATAATAAATCAAACAGGGTAATTGCGACTTTTTCCTCTCACAATTCTGACTTTTTTTCTCGCAATTGAGAGTTATAGACTCAGAATTGCATGATGTAATCTTGCAGTTCTGACTTTTTTCTTGCAATTGCGAGTTTATATTTCACAATTGTGACTATTTCTCAGAATTGCAAGTTTTCTCTTACAATTCGGACTTTTTTGTCACAATTGTGAGTTTACATCTTTCAATTCGGACTTTTTTTCTCAGAATTACATATAAACTCAGAATTGTATTTTTTTATTCAGTGGCAGAAACAGGCTTCCAAAGTGCACATTATTCCAAAGGACAATATTATGTCCTCAATTTAAAATAAAATGTATTAATTTAATTTTGTAAGTAATTAAATTTTTTTATTTTACCGTTTTAAAAGTTTGGGTTCGGTAAGATTTTTTAAAAATGTTTTTGAAAGAAGCTCACCAAGACTGAATTTATTTGATCAAAACACAGTAAAAACAGTAATACTGTGAAATATTATTTTAAAATATTTTTTTTCTATTTGAATATATTTTCAAATGTAATTTATTCCTGTGATGTAAAGCTGAATTTTCAGCATCATTACTCCAGTCTTCAGTGTCACATGATCCTTCAGAGATTACTGCTCAAGAAACATTTCTGATTATTATCAATGTTACAGGTACAATTTTTGTGGAAACCGTGATACATTTATCAGGATTCTTTGATGAATAGAAAGTTCGAAAGAACATCATTTATTTGAACTAGAAACTAAAAATGTAACATTTTGTAACATTATAAATGTCTTTACAATAAATGTATTAATTCTTCAACAAAACAAAAAAAGCAAGAAAAAAAAAAGTCTTTGTATGTGTTTTTGTGCATGCAAAGGTCCTTACACACTGCATTTCACGAGCGCTAAAGATGCGTGGCAGAAGAAACATCTTGACAGGGACGGTCATGATGAGAACAAACGGGAAAGCCAGAGATGCCACAGTAGACATGACCGCCCAGAGGACAGCAAGACAGACCACCTGTATTGCAGTGAAGAGATGCATCCGCAGGGTCCGCACCTGAGGATTCAGTCAAGATACACAGTACAAATCAGTTCTACCTTCCGTACTGTTAGTTACAACCATAAAGACATCTGTATCTGACACTATTACTGCAGTATGTTACAGCCACAGTACCTTTTTAAGGGAACAATGACAAAAATCCTCTTTATTAATAAACAAAAAAACTGATTGGAGTCCTGACCTTGCGTACATAGGTGTGATCAGGGTGGTATTTAGGGGGCATCAGTAGCAGCAAGATCCGTTCGGTCAGCTGAATCCCATTCAGTGACATCACACCCATGTATAGGAAGATGCCAAACAGCACAGCGATGGGGATTTGACCGAGCAGATCACCGATTACTATCGAGAGACCTACAGCCAACAAAATTTGTAGTATGAAGACATTTTATAGACTATTTCCTTCATTTAATTTATACATTAATATATACAATAGTCATTTTACACTTATTTAATGTGCATGTTATGAAATAGTATGCATTGTAGTAGCAATAAGCCACAAGATACTATGTGTTACATTGATTTTACCTTAAACTGTGGGGAGAAAAAAAAAGCCTGTACTGGTCAGTCTTTAGTTGCTTATTTTTCTAAAACACTGGCAACAGCAATATGATCAAATACATAAATGTCCAATAAATAATGAAACTGCCCTGCATCATATTTGCTAGATGAAATCCTATACTTTTTTATACAAAAAAAAAAAAAAACTCATAATTTTGGCCTGCTCATTCCAAAAACAGTATCTGATTCCAAACAAATTATCCTTCAATATTTTAATAATATATTGTAGTGTTCTCAGACAAGGACGAGGCGTTTTGATGTACAAGGGGTGTTTATTGGGGCTGTTGTCGGCCACAACCCACGCCGTACACACCCCGACTTCTAAGAGAACCGCACTTGAACCAGCGAGGCACTCATTCTCCCCCCTCCTTCTCTCTCTTTTCCCTTACACACACACATGGGCGGAGCCTCTTTTCACATCCAACTCGAACATCCAATAACAGTTCGCAACACAAAAATGAATACAGTGCAACACTAACATTAAGCACATTGTTATCTATAACACAACATGCTTGAACATGCTACACTATATATATATATATATTTTTTTTTTTATCAGCAGTTTGTGTCGATCAGGATGCATCTAAATGGATAATGTTAGAATCAGTAATTTTTGGAACCCACCTACAAGTATTGCCACCAGTAACCCGGTCACCCTCTGCTCCTTGACCTCCTGGATTCGAGGTTTGTCTCCAGGGGCGACGGCTTTGCTCATTACGGTGAGGGCGTTGGCATGGGTTACAGAGCGCACGGTGGCCGCAGCCATCCACGGCAGGCCGAACAGAGCACTGGTGCCACCGAGAGTCACGATGAGCAACAGATCCAGATGAAAACCAGAACCCTTGACCAGCATTCGCTCTTTCTTACTGACTATCAACCTAGAAGGAGAGAGCATCTTTAATCCTGCCATGATTTTATGTATACCATGAATCAGGGATAAAAATTTTTGTTGTATATTTGTCGTGTATAATTAACAGCTTTATTGCAAATTAAATCATTTTTTCCCCCCACAAAATGTTCACATATAATGAATACAAATGAGACGAAACATGGCAGTGGACTCACGTTGTGATTTGTGTCTCCATAAAGATGAGAATGAAGACGAGCAGAGCCGGAAGGATGCTGGCAAACATCATCCAGATAGGGAACTGACCATCAGAACCCAGAGGATTGACTATCCAACCTCGCTTATCAGTACTAGTCTCTGAAAAACCTCGTGGTACACTCAGTTTCTGCAGGGTGCAGCATTAAAAAAAAAAAAAGACAATACATATGTGAATAAAATAGTAAGAAAATAATACTTATACTAATAAGAAGAAAATTCATAAAAATAAAGTAAATCAAAATATAAATTATTAAATTATAAACAGTGGAGCATTAAAATATATAAATGACAATAACAAAAAAATTACAATAATACAAAATATTAATAAAGAGAATGAATAAAAAATAAAGTCAGTCAAAAATAAAAACTAATAAAATATAAAGAGTGTAGCATTAAAAAGAATACATAAAATAATAACACTAATAAGAAATAAAAGAAAATAATAATAATGGACACAAAAAAAAAAAAAAAGTATTTTTGCTTATAAAATACATAACAAAAACATAACACCTCTTGTCAACAAAACTATAGCACAAACAGTGCCGGTTTAAGCATCAAATTTTAATATTTAGGGTACCTAACATGAAATATGAGTGATAGTAATAATAATAATGCTAGCTTTACTTGATTTTAACTTCTTCAAATCACCTGCAAATTGACAACTATCCATTCTCACCTGTGAGTGTGTGTCTTGAATGCTGTAGTCTACCAGAACCATGATAAGAATGGCAATAGGAACTCCAAAATCTCCAATAACTCTTCTTAGCTGTAAAAAAGACCCAAATTGACTTATTATACCTTACTATAGATTCAACATTCTAAAAACATAAAATATTAAAGGGGACATCGGATTAAATGTTCACTTTTTAAAGCTTTTTTTTGCATTTAGTTGGGTTTCCGGCATGTCTGCCAACTCAGAAAAGCTGAAAAGAAAACACGCAGATAGTTTGTTTTGCGCGGTTTGAGTCTGAAACTGTGCCTTCCAGCGAGCTGTTTCAATATGCAGCCGGTTTCTATGTAGATAGCTAGCTGTTTGGATAAGACCAACCCTAAATTTTGTATATAAAATTCTATACAAGATTTTTAAAAAGTACTTGTGGTACAAATTTTTCAGAGACCATCTTACAAAAGTTCTTCAAAATTTACAAATCATTGTCTTGTGACAATAAAAATTGGGCAGTCTAAAAACATATGCTTTACTGACAAGTTAGTGCTACAGTATTCACATTTTGGTGCTTCTTCACCCTTCAATAAATGCCAATGAGCCAATTTAGCATGGACCAAGGAAATACTGAATAAATCATTGAATCAATGGTCATTTGTGGGTGAACTTGACCTTTGACAGCATATGGTATTTAGCATATTTATCATACTTATGGTAGAGAATCTGGTACTGTAAACTCACAGAGAAGAAGGCTTCTTCAAACACCAGGATTGGTCCAGAGAAGCCCACCACCAGAAGTGGCTGAACCCCGAGCAGACAGAACAACACACCCTGAATACAAGTGGCCACAATCAGCTCCGACACACCAATGAGGCCTTCAGTCTTCTCACCTGTACACACAAGACAGAATTATTAAATGGAGAGGGATAGATTCAACATTCTAAAAACATAAAATATTAAAGGGGACATCGGATTAAATGTTCACTTTTTAAAGCTTTTTTTTGCATTTAGTTGGGTTTCCGCCATGTCTGCCAACTCAGAAAAGCTGAAAAGAAAACACGCAGATAGTTTGTTTTGCGCGGTTTGAGTCTGAAACTGTGCCTTCCAGCGAGCTGCAGCCGGTTTCTATGTAGATAGCTAGCTGTTTGGATAAGACCAACCCTAAATTTTGTATATAAAATTCTATACAAGATTTTTAAAAAGTACTTGTGGTACAAATTTTTCAGAGACCATCTTACAAAAGTTCTTCAAAATTTACAAATCATTGTCTTGTGACAATAAAAATTGGGCAGTCTAAAAACATATGCTTTACTGACAAGTTAGTGCTACAGTATTCACATTTTGGTGCTTCTTCACCCTTCAATAAATGCCAATGAGCCAATTTAGCATGGACCAAGGAAATACTGAATAAATCATTGAATCAATGGTCATTTGTGGGTGAACTTGACCTTTGACAGCATATGGTATTTAGCATATTTATCATACTTATGGTAGAGAATCTGGTACTGTAAACTCACAGAGAAGAAGGCTTCTTCAAACACCAGGATTGGTCCAGAGAAGCCCACCACCAGAAGTGGCTGAACCCCGAGCAGACAGAACAACACACCCTGAATACAAGTGGCCACAATCAGCTCCGACACACCAATGAGGCCTTCAGTCTTCTCACCTGTACACACAAGACAGAATTATTAAATGGAGAGGTCCTTTCTGGAGTTCAAGCATAAGTAATCTAAAATACTTCTCAGGATCAGAGTGACTGATTGTGTGATAACCTTTTGTTTCATAACTGGTTGTGACCGTTTAAAGTCATTTAAGTCAGTTCTGGAAGCAATTTACAGTTTTCACATTTAATGTAAAAAAATGTGTTGGTGAATTAAATACAAAAAAAAAAAAACATTATATATATTAGAACATTCTTTTTTTCAAATCACCATAAAAAAAACAAATAACACCATGACATACACTTATTCTGTCTGCATACATGTATATATTTTTTTCTTTTGATGTTGGAATGCAATTTAAAAACCAAATACATTTTCCTTCACAATAATTTCAATTTTAAAACACTGTCTAACTGTTATTGATCACGTGCATTTAAAATGATTATTTTTATTGCATTTAAGATCATACCAATATGTTTCTGTCAGCAAGAACACAGACAGAATGGAGAGCGGTAATGTAACTGACCTAGAAGGCCTCCGAATGTGATGGTGGGAGAAAGAGCAGCGAAATAAATAAAGATGACAGCAGCCATGCACTGGAGGTTCAGCGCATCCTTGAAGTCACTGATGTACTTTGGGTAACGGCGCTGGGCGTCACGGATCAGCCCACCAAACAGACGGCCTGTGCGTCGTAATGGGTCGTCTTCTAGTTTTATGGGTGCTAGCAAGGCCTCTGATTTACACAGAGAGAGAGAGAATATGGGATATTATGAATAAAACAGGATACTGAAGAAATAAACACTGAAGTTGCAAAATAAAACAAAATGCACGCACACGCGCCACACAGAATACATTACATTTAAAAAAGTGAAAGACGACAAAAGGAAAAGCAAAAAACAATACACTAATAACAAAAACAAACAAAAAAGACAAAATAAAACAAAACAAGCACAAAGAACACTCATAACAAAACTTTTAAATAAAATGAGAAAAAAAAACAACAGCACAAATAACAAAGACGAACAAACAAAGACAAAATAAAAAAACCAAGCACAAAGAAGAGAAATGCAATAAAGAAAAACAAAAACACTATACACATAAGCACAAACAAAAAATAGACAATTAAAATTATATAAAATTAAATAAAAACAAACAAAACACACACACACACACACATATAAAACACAAAACAATAAACCAAAATAAAAGCTGAACTGGAACTAAAGCAACACAGGTCAATGCAGACCTTTCTCTTCAAGGCTCTTGGGCTCTTTGGACAGCAAGGCCACTTCCTGCTCCTCTCTCTTGCGGAGCATCTCTCTTTGGAAGTGAGCAACAGACCGCAGGAGCTCTTCACCGCCTAGTTCTGATGGAGGCAGAACAATACTGCAGTCCAGAAAGCCATTGATGGCATTGAGCAGGTCCTGCCGATCATCTGCCAGGTACGCAGATTCATGAAATTGCTGGAGAGAGATCAGATCAAGTTAACACTGGAAATAGCCATTATAGTCTGAATTTTTGGCATGGAACGATGCTTTTCTTTGAATTTGTGCAGTGGTGACTCACAGCCATCTTTCTCACCTTGTCAGACATGAGTGTTGAAATGGAGCGTCCGATCTGGTGGTAGTCCATGCTGGTGCTGGGAGGACCAAGCAGCACAAAGAGAAACCGAACAGGAACCGGAACCTCCAACACAGAGTCCAGTTCTACAGCTTCCTGAAGTCGAACAAATGCCATGGTGGGCTGCTCCAGGAAGTCAACACTGCCTAGCAAGACATCAATACATTTCATTTCCTGTTGTTCTGTGAAATCATTTGCTGTTTGTTCATGTGGCTGTTAATCTGTAATAATCATTTTAATTTCTGATGCATCTGGTTGATTTGGATTCAGTAGTAATTTACAACCAATTCTTAACTGTTTAAACGGGATAATCTGATATTCATATTTTTCCAGTTTATTTTTCATTTCTTAAAGAAGTCCTATTTGAGTCCTTTATGACTGGTTCCAAATTATGATAGAAATCCATCAGGATTCAGAATCAGACTATAATTGCTTACCAACAAGTACGACGGTGGCTTCAGCATTTTCCGGAATTTTCTCCAGAAGCTTAAGTTCATGTTTGGATTTGGATCTGTGCATGCCTATGGATGAAGCAGAATCTTTCTGCAAATAATGAGACATAAGAACACGAAGATTCGAAGATGAAGATTTGAAGAGATAGACTCCAATCCAAAATACAATAAATAAACAAGCAAACAAACATACCATCATACAATATAAAATAAATTATGCTAATTTAGCAACTTTAAGACATTTTCTTTATTTAAAATGTATTTAGAATCAGCATAACAGCATGACACATTTTTTTCTTTATTTTTCAAATTTAAGGTGCTATAATAATTACAATTATTTTTAATGTCTCTTATGCTCACCAAGACTTTATTTGAGCAATAAATAGTATTTTGCGAAATATTATTTGTGAAAAATAATTTGAAAGAACTTTTCTATTTTTATAATACCAATGTTATAATATTGCACAATATTTCTGTTGTTACTGTATTGTTATAACATAAATGCAGCCTTGGTGAGCATAAGAGAATTTCAAAAACATAAAAAATAATAATTTCTTTTAAAAAAAAGAACAAAGTAAATAAAGAGAAGACGTTGCCCTTCTCATTTAAAACATAATCCAGCTTAGACACTTTCAACCAACTACCTCGTTCTTCTCAATGTCAATGTGAAGTGAGCTGTCTTGACTGGTCCTTGTGGACCCCATGAGTGGCTCTGTGACGGAGAGTTCGGGGACTGGGGACAGGTGGTTACTGCTGCTCTGGTGATGGGTGATCAGAGAGCCCAGGCTGGCTGCTGAGATGTTTCTGGGGAATGAGGAGCTGTGCTCCTTCTCATCGCTCGGGTGACTAAGGGAGGGAGAGCAAGGGAGCCAGCGGGTAAGAGAGACTAGGAGAGACTGCGAAGGGTCATGTGTGGATCTACATAGGGACGGTGGTATGGCGAATGGTGTAGAATATAAAGCAATAGATTATATGAGAATAAAAGACCGTAAGTGGAGTAAACAGATTCAGACCTCAAAATCACATGTCATTTCTTAAGATACTCTTTATTGTACAAATATCCGAGCGCTACCTGTGCTTGAGTAGAAGAGCGCGGAGGACATTGGCTCTGTCCTCGGCTTTGATCTGATCAGAGATGATCATCTGTTCCACCACCTGATGGGCGATGCCAGGTAGAGTCTTCTGGTCCAAGTCCAAAAGCACAGCTCCTAATGAGAGGAATCAAACATGAGGCCCTCATTATCATTAACGCAATCAATATAATAAAACATGTTATAATACTTAACGAAAACCATAAAATCTCTATATTCGAAATTCATGTAAACAAAATATAAAAAACCTTTTTACTTCAGCTAGCTGCCATATTTAAAATAACTACAACTAAAATAAAAATTAAAACTAGTCATATTTTTAAAAAAAATAATTAATTAAAAGCTACAAAATTAAAATGAAAACTGAAAGTGGAGAAATATTACATCAGCATTTATTAATCTGTGTACAGTAAATGTTCATTTATAAATATATACTACTGTTCGCTAATAATTAACCTTTGTTCAAAATACATTTAACAATTAACATTGTACTTAGTGTTGATAAATAATATGGATGTTTATCAAAGATTTTAAGTTAAAATCACATGTATAATAAATTTATTTAGGTATATTTAGGTAAGTGTATATTTTACATTTTGTGACCAACCACCATTTCTCTGAAGTTTTTAAAACAAAATATTTTGCCCATAATTTTTATTTTAAAATTACATAATTTATCCATAATCCACATTATTGCTAACTTTTCAGCTTTTTTAAAAGTATATTTAAATGGTAAAAAAATTTTTTGGCAGATATATTCTTTGTAGTCTCTCAATGAATATAGTAATTATATATATATATATATATATATAGTAGTTTAGAGTAGCATACTTTTTTAGTAGCATAGCACGTCATGCAGCATGACACTGTGGTGCTTTTGCAATTAATTATGCAATCAAACACTGATATCACAATAAAAGGCTCTAACCTGACATTAGCGCTTCACTATAAAACAGACTTTTCTGCAGGTTTCTCCAGGTTCTCACCATGAGAGATGGTTTTTCTCAGCTCCAGCAGACTGCGGAATGACAGCGAGGCGACGTGTGGTTTCCCCCAGCGGTCCGTCTCCTCCTCCACATCCTCTTCAAACTTGATCCAGCGAGCCGTTTCTCTCCACTGCATCTCCTGGTTTTTATCCATGATCAGCTCATTCAGCTCCACAAACACCTGGTGCCAAAGACCATACAATAAACGGGTGAAAAAAAAGCTATTAAAACACCTTACAATCAAAAAGCCTACAACTATCTAAGGTTTTTCTTTGGATGAATGCAACTTGCTAAGGTAGTTAAAGCAACAGACACCAGCTATGCATTTTAACCCAAATAGCTTGTACCTCAACTCAAGTTAACTTTGGTTTGATCTGCCTAAAACATAATATCGCACACCAATCGATGCATCCAGCATGTGCATGTACACCACAACACAGCATTTTCTGACCTTCTGATGCCGAGCAAGCCGTCTGGAAAAGTCTAAAAGGACCATGCCGTTAGAGCAAGACTGAATGATGAGATGTCAGGCAGCGGTGTGAACACCCACTGGTGTTGTTTAGAAGTAAAAGGGTCCATAAGTACACTAAGACATAGCTGGTTTACCTGTCTAGAGGGGGATCTGAGGGCGTTAATAAAACATGGCTGACTCTGAAGGCTCGCGGTGTCCGGTTACCCGAGCTGATCTTTTCTTTATTTCTAGGTGTGTGAAAGGAAAGAAGTTCATTCATTTTTAATCAGGTCCTGCCCCCTAAAATCCTCCTTTTATTTGTTGTGATTACATAATTTATCCATAATCCACATTATTGCTAACTTTTCAGCTTTTTTAAAAGTACATTTAAATGGTAATATATATATAGTAGTTTAGAGTAGCATACTTTTTTAGTAGCATAGCACGTCATGCAGCATGACACTGTGGTGCTTTTGCAATTAATTATGCAATCAAACACTGATATCACAATAAAAGGCTCTAACCTGACATTAGCGCTTCACTATAAAACAGACTTTTCTGCAGGTTTCTCCAGGTTCTCACCATGAGAGATGGTTTTTCTCAGCTCCAGCAGACTGCGGAATGACAGCGAGGCGACGTGTGGTTTCCCCCAGCGGTCCGTCTCCTCCTCCACATCCTCTTCAAACTTGATCCAGCGAGCCGTTTCTCTCCACTGCATCTCCTGGTTTTTATCCATGATCAGCTCATTCAGCTCCACAAACACCTGATGCCAAAGACCATACAATAAACGGGTGAAAAAAAAGCTATTAAAACACCTTACAATCAAAAAGCCTACAACTATCTAAGGTTTTTCTTTGGATGAATGCAACTTGCTAAGGTAGTTAAAGCAACAGACACCAGCTATGCATTTTAACCCAAATAGCTTGTACCTCAACTCAAGTTAACTTTGGTTTGATCTGCCTAAAACATAATATCGCACACCAATCGATGCATCCAGCATGTGCATGTACACCACAACACAGCATTTTCTGACCTTCTGATGCCGAGCAAGCCGTCTGGAAAAGTCTAAAAGGACCATGCCGTTAGAGCAAGACTGAATGATGAGATGTCAGGCAGCGGTGTGAACACCCACTGGTGTTGTTTAGAAGTAAAAGGGTCCATAAGTACACTAAGACATAGCTGGTTTACCTGTCTAGAGGGGGATCTGAGGGCGTTAATAAAACATGGCTGACTCTGAAGGCTCGCGGTGTCCGGTTACCCGAGCTGATCTTTTCTTTATTTCTAGGTGTGTGAAAGGAAAGAAGTTCATTCATTTTTAATCAGGTCCTGCCCCCTAAAATCCTCCTTTTATTTGTTGTGAAGGACAGCGGGCTTGTCCCAAATAAAGTGGGAATGCAGTGAATGAGCCTCAATCTGGGAAAAGGACTAAACACTCTGAAATAGCCCATCAGGACTTTGTGAAGGCATCTGTAAAGACATCTGAAACCTAGCTAGTTATGTCTATGATAACAAATTTGTCCCAAAATCCCAGCCAGAGGGAATGGCACAAAAACGTTTTCACAGAACATTTGGTTACTCCTCAAAGGGTTAGTTCACCCAAAAACGAAAATTCTGTCATTAATTACTCACCCTCATGCTGTTCTAAACCCGTAAGACCTCCGTTCATCTTCCGAACACAAATTAAGATATTTTTGAAGAATTCTGAGAGCTCTCTGACCCTCCCATAGACAGCAAGGGTCGTTACACGATCAAGGTCCAGAAACGTAGCAAGGAGATCGGTTAGGGCTGGACGATATGGCCAAAATTGATATCACGATATATTTCTTAATTTCGGTCGATACGATATAATTCCGATATCGATATGAACACTATTTATCTGAAATAGAAATCTTTTGTAACATTATAAATGCCTTTATCATCACTTTTGATCAATTTTAAGCATCCTTGCTAAATAAAAGTATTAATTTCTAGAATTTCTTTCCCAAAAAAAATTATAAAAATTATACTGAATGGAATAGCCTCCGCGTCACCCTGGTGCCATTTTGGAGAATATCCACTGAACGTAAGCAGCGTATGCTATTCTGTGTCAGCTGCATCACGCGTATACGTTGTTTTCGTTCAAATCAAAGCGTAAACAACGTAGAAAACGTGTCCGCGTGACGCAACTATATATATATATATATATATATATATATGTTTTTTTTTTCTTTTGAGGTTTTCCATGAACCTTGGGTGTCCAGACAGGGTTAATATACTAGTTTCAACCAAATTACAGACATTAACTAGTAACCAAGCTAGAGAAACCAAGAAACTAGTATCTGTCAACAGGTGTCTGACCTCATGTGGCGTCCGGTCCAGTTTGCGACTGCGTGTGCTGGGCTCTTTGTGGTCTTTGCTGATGTGCACCACCTGACCCTTCGTGCTTTTCCTGACCAGGTGTCGACGTACTCCAGGAACATCTTCAAAACGATGGCCTGGAAGAATGGACCAATAAAAACATGTATATTATTTAAATAACAGGCTACAGTTTGCGGTGTAAGATTTTTGTTTTTAAAAGAAGTCTCTTATGCTCTTCAAGGCAAAGAACAGCATTTATTTGAAATAGAAATCTTTTGTAACATTATAAATATCTTTACTGTCATTTTTGAGCAATTTAATGCATACTTGCTAAATAAAAGCATAAAAAACTATTACTAACCCTAAACTTTTGAACAGAAATGTAACTGACGGATATAAAATAACCTTTAATTGATTATGTACCACATTAAATATTCCAAAACACTGCACTGTACTATAAAGTATTTCAGATTTTCATTCAAAGTATATTTCTCCCAGGATGCACGTACAGTACCTGTAAGTATTACTCAAATCAGTTAAATGACCACATTCACTAGGTAAAATCTCATTGGCAGGGTTGAGAGGGAGGTCATCGCCTTTGTTCATAACACAACGCTCATCAGGATGAAATTACAGGATGGGCCAGTTGCCAAAGACATTCAGGGTAAAAAGGTCAGGGAGGGAATTCAGGTGGATTTGACGAACTAGTGTGAGTATAAGAACAAACTCCAATCAAGCAAACAGGCCAAAGCCTTTTCCCACATAGCTTGTCAGGGCGAGCTGAAATCCACTTTTACATTAACAAAAAAGGCGTTCACACTCTGAGAGTGATTTGCAAGGACAGATGAGAGCTGACAGTGACTGAAATCGCTGGCGATGAAACAAAGTCAAGCAGAGTTTAACTTACTGTTGATTAACTGTTTTGTCTATGAACTGATGTTCTGACATCCACAGGTCAAAAGAAACGGTAGACAGTAACCGTGTAAAGTCCTGTCGTCGAGCATATCCCAGCGGATGGGCCTTTTCCCAGACTAATTAATGGCCCGTATAGCACGACTGTTGAGAAAAGCTCTAGAAAGCTGATTGGGTATATTACAGGAACCGCTGATATACAGCTGAAGTCTGATAAAGGTTTGTCCCGCTGGGCCACAAAAGACTCTTGCTGTGAAGAGTAGCAGGATGCTTGGTACAAATCTCCTGAAAGACGATGAAACTAGTGGAAACTCTGACTTCTAGATGTTGCAATCCCAGTAGATCAGGTCGTGGAACTGTGCTTTCTTTGCTAATATATTAGTCAAAACAAGAACTACCAAAAAACACCGGTTTAAAATGTTTTTTAAAGAAGTTTCTTATGCTTACCGAGGTTGCATTGATTTGATCAAAAATACAGTAAAAACAGTAACATTATGGACTAACTGTTTGCTATTTGAATATACTTTCAAATGTAATTTAATCCTGTAATGCAAAGCTGAATCTCTACTGGGTATGTGCATTAAAAAAAAAACTCACTTTTAATGCCGTCCAGGTCGGCCGAGGCCAGGGTCTGTGCCTCAAACTCATCAGTGGGGATCCGCTGGTATTTGGCCTGCTCGGTCCCCGTCATGTTGCCCGTGCGACGTCTCTCCTGAAGGTCGTAGCTGCGACTCGACACACGGGGCAGAGAGCTGGGTTCAGTGGCGCTAGGGATCGGAGGAACAGAGTCAGATGGCCTACAACAGACAAAATGAGACCTTGTCAAATACTTTTCATTAAACCACTAATACAAAAGGCATTATAAACAAGCAAAACTTACTGGAAAATCAACAAAAAGAATAAAAGAGTTACTACTTTTGAAGTGTTACTGTTGTACAAAGCTAACAAAGATCTTTATTAACACATAAATAATGCAAAATCTATTATACTGAGAAAATAACACTAAACAAAAAAATGTCATGCTGTTTACACTATTAACAAAGTGAGGTTCATTAGATTGAAAAGCTTTCAATAAATGAATAAAGCATTTACTTAAATCAGATGGTCTATAAGAGACTCATCATACAAAAGCATTATTAACAATATAAGCATTATAAACAAGGAAAACTTAAGGTAAAGTCAACAGAGTAAACCAGTACTCTTTTTGAAGAGTTAGTGTTTTACTATTAGCTTAATAAAATAGAGGAAATAATACATTTTGTACATTCATGTCACTAAAATTATGCTCTAATTTTCTTAAAATTCCGACACAAAAAGCTTACATCAGAGAAAGACTGAATATCCCCTTCAGATATTCTCCTATTGATTTTGCATTTGTCAACAAATACATCTTCATGAGCACTTACCTTTAGTTTAAACTGAGTTATGTTTCTGAAAGCATCTTAGACCAAAAACCCCAATTAGTGTTAACTTTACTGAAGAACAGAAGAAAACAACCTGCTGAAATGATCTGACAATGAATCCCGATGCTTGTAAAGACAGCCCTGCATTTAAAAAGATGAGAAAGCAAGAGGGAAAGGTGGAGAGCGCTTTATAAAAGCAAAGTGCGGTTGCTAGTAGTAACGGGTGAGTGATGTAGACAGTGGTGATGAAGGTCTGGAGAGAGGCTGATACCCCGCTGCTCTCTGAAATAACCGGTTCTAGGTAACGGACAGGGTACGATTTACAATAAACCAACACCAGAGAGGCGGACACAAGCTGAAGGTGGATGCTCTACGGGTCAGGCTACGAAACCTGCAATGTCTACCACTTCAAACGAGTAAATACTGCAACAAAACTGCAAAATGAAGACTAAGAATGCAACATGCAACACTCTGAGAACTTCCCTTGAAAAATTTTTTACCATGTTGACACAGTTTCCAACAAAATACCAAAGTTACACAAAAATGTCCAGGTCACATTTCACAACAAAATTAATGAAACAAAACTGAATGAAGAAAATTAAGCCTGTTTAATGGCCATTAAGATTTTTTTATTTATTGCAGTATTATGTATTTTTCATGACAATTAAGAACATGTTTCAGCCATATTCTCATTACTGTAATGCATGTGCGTGATTTACATTTTTTTCAGAATGTATAAATAACATTTTATAGATATTGCATGCTTAAGAAGCAATTTCTAGCCGATTACATATTTTAGTGCCGAGCTTAATTTAACCAAAAAATAATTCACTATAGAAATTTCCATGGCTTTTTAATATTATAATGATTTTAATGAGCTGGAAATCATAATAATCAAATAATAAAAATCCTGAAAGTTCCAGGTTTATGCCTGCGTGAACCCTGAAATTTTTTTTTTCGAATTAATGAGAATGAGAATTGTTTTGCATTAAATTTATGACAATTTAGGGGAAAATATCCTTAATTGTAATGAAAACATTTTTTCTTGACGGCCCTAAATATTTAACTTCTACCTTTGTGCTTTAGGACCAAAGTTAAATATTAAATTTACAAAGTATATTATAAGGTTAAACTAAACTATAATAACAATAATAATATTATTATTATTATTAATCATAATAATAATAATAATCTGTTACTTAAAATAAACGTTAACTGAAATAATATATAATAAAACTTATACATAAAAAATAAATATAAATGTAAATCAAACTTGTTTTATTTCAGTTACTGTAGTTGCCATTTCTCAATTTTATTTAGTCTGACTTAATGTACTAAATACTAAAACTGAAATAAAAATTATACAGACATAAAAAAACTGATTAAATAAAGAAACACTTTAACACTAAAATGACTATTAATAAACTAAAAACTAGTTCAAAATATTAAAAAAAATATATAATAGTATCTCAATGATACTATAATATCACTGATTAACAGTAAACAAAACTATAATTTCTCCCTTATTTTATTTGGATTTTTGGTGTAAAATCTGAACCTGGACATGTTCTTGACAGCTTCTGTGAGATTTATTACAATACTTGTCATATACTAAAATCATCACACATTACACATATAATGAAATGACATTAATATTGGATTTCCATTAACACCAAATATTTGTCTTTTTTACTTTTACTGTAGTAACAATAACTGTACTAAATATGAACTGTGATTATGCACTATGTAGGTGAATGGTGTGCAACGTGTCAAAGCTTTGCCTCCAAGTAATTATATAATGACATAATCCATCAGCATATATAACAAAGCTAAAGCACCGCAGTAGATGGACTCACTCAGTGGATGTGCTGTCCTGAGGCTCTGCACACACAGCAGACGAGGGGACGATCAGGATTTCTCGCGCAGGAAGAGGTTCTGAAGTCTCGGGTGTGGATACATAAGGCTCGTCATCTGACACGAAGAACTGGACCAGAGATAAAATGAGAGAAACAATCCAAATCTATTATAGCTAGTAATTCAAAAACAGTCAACAAGCACTTACAACTTGAGTTTGTATTATTAAAAAAAAAAAAGAGTTATATTTCATACAAATTAAAACATTCAATTAAATGTTGAACTGTGGACATAAACAAGGTTACCTGAACACTGTCTTTTCTCTCTGTGACACTCTGGCCCTCCGTAGCTTCTTCATCTTCCTCCTCCTCCTCATCTTCACCCTCTTCGATGGCTAAAGCACCGCTGGGGCTGGAACACACTCTGTGGTCCTTACTGCTGCTCCGTCTCCTCTTCCTCCCACTCTTCTTCCTCCTGCCGTCTCCTGGGAGTTTGGACAGGGGGTGGTGGATGTGATGGGACGAGTGACGGTGATCTGGAGAAGATTACAGCTATAGAGTTTCGGTTCTGCATTTTCACATTTATGGCTTTCAACATTTATCAGGGCTCTAGAGTTGTAAAACTATGTTTTGAAATTGTGTAATCAAGGTATAAATTGAAACATCTTGTCAAATGTGCTCCTAAAAGATTATATTTTTATTTGTACAATTGCTAACACTATTGTATATTATTATTGTTCTATTGCTGGATCCTCCCAGGGCTGATATATTTAACTAAAACCATAATAAAACATTTTCATTACTTGAAATAAAATAATAATTAACCTAAATAAAAAATTTTAAATTATTTTATTTCAGCTACTTTCCAAGGCAAAATTTAAATTTTTTGTTGTAGTACTATAATAACTAAAGCTAAATAAACTACAACTAATAAATAAAAATGAATTAAAACTATATAGACATAAAAAAAACACAAAAACAGCTAAATTATTAAAACTAATCTAAAATTAAAGTGAAAACAGAAAATCTAATTTAAATATTTACAAAAATCTATAATAAAGTATATTAATGATACTATAACACTAGCTCTACTTAAAATGTATGCATATATAAAAATGATGTGTGCATATACAGTGGGTACGGAAAGTATTCAGACCCCCTTAAATTTTTCACTCTTTGTTATATTGCAGCCATTTGCTAAAATCATTTAAGTTAATTTTTTTTCCTCATTAATGTACACACAGCATCCCATATTGACAGAAAAACACAGAATTGTTGACATTTTTGCAGATTTATTAAAAAAGAAAAACTGAAATATCACATGGTCCTAAGTATTCAGACCCTTTGCTGTGACACTCATATATTTAACTCAGGTGCTGTCCATTTCTTCTGATCATCCTTGAGATGGTTCTACACCTTCATTCGAGTCCAGCTGTGTTTGATTATACTGATTGGACTTGATAAGGAAAGCCACACACCTGTCTATATAAGACATTACCGCTCACAGTGCCTATTTCCTAGCTGCATACGTCATAGAGGTCTTCTCATTTTAGATCAGTAGCTATTAAATTCCAAAATAAGAAAGAAATGACAATTTATGCCTCATAAACAATAAGTCAATTTTATAATGGTTGCTTTTTTCTGAAACGAGACGTACGCCGACAATTGCGACTTTCGCCTTCGAAATGAGACAGTAATTAATCTCTTTCTAAATGAAATGGAAATCATGATATAATGTCAAACAAATGCAAACACTAGAGGCTTTACAGCTCATTGCTGCGCTTATTGCAATGACACAAGCAAATAATCTCAAGTCAAATAGAGGGAGTCATGGTCAAAAGCATTAGTTAGTCACAGAACATTTTGAAGGCTGTCGTATTTCCTAGCTGCATACGTCATAGAGGTCTTCTCATTTTAGATCAGTAGCTATTAAATTCCAAAATAAGAAAGAAATGACAATTTATGCCTCATAAACAATAACAGTCAATTTTATAATGGTTGCTTTTTTCTGAAACGAGACATCCTCAATGACGTACGCGGCCAACAATTGCGACTTTCGCCTTCGAAATGAGACAGTAATTAATCTCTTTCTAAATGAAATGGAAATCATGATATAATGTCAAACAAATGCAAACACTAGAGGCTTTACAGCTCATTGCTGCGCTTATTGCAATGACACAAGCAAATAATCTCAAGTCAAAAACAATCTCATTAGCTGCACCTTAATGGAGTGCTCGCATTTGCTCAATACATACACAAACAAACAAACAAATAAAACATTCACTGTAATTCATTCCATGCAACCATTTCATGAATTGACAAATGGTTTTTTTTTATTTTTGCTAATTCACAAAATCTACTTGTTTCCCACAAGCAATATAACCATAACACAAAAAGAAATTACCCAAAATATAAGACACAACAAACCTTTTCCATTTAAATTCCTTCATCTAAACCTGTTTCCTGCCAGGCTTTACAGCTCATTGCTGCGCTTATTGCAATGACACAAGCAAATAATCTCAAGTCAAAAACAATCTCATTAGCTGCACCTTAATGGAGTGCTCGCATTTGCTCAATACATACACAAACAAACAAACGAATAAACATTCACTGTAATTCATTCCATGAAATGACAAATGGTCTTTTTTTTTTTTTGCTAAATTCACAAAATCTACTTGTTTCCCACAAGCAATATAACCATAACACAAAAATAAATTACCCAAAACATAAGACACAACAAACCTTTTCCATTTAAATTCCTTCATCTAAACCTGTTTCCTGCCATCAGACAGTACCACGCCATCTCACACGCTACATTACAGAAGGAGAATTTCTGCCAGATAATGCATTCATATGGTGTATACATGCATACCATGGTGCACATTAAGTACCATAGCAGTTTTTTTGTATGACACACGTGCTTTAGTGACTAGAGACTAAAATAATTTTGCCACTGTCAATTTACTGTAGGACTTTATCTGGGTCTGATATGAGGCTGAACATTACATCGAAATTAAACTGATATTGTAATGACTTAAAGCAATATTCAAACCACAAAGACTGAGATTCAAATGTATATGCATGGCTGTTTTCAGAGAAAAGCAAAGCACTGTGTTGATTTACAAGTGTGTAGATTATGATACAGTATTACAGCGAGCGTTTCTGGTTTTTAAAAATGAGCTGCACACAGCTGCATGTGTCCTATGAAAACTCAAGTGGAAATATAAGAATTTTTTTTTTGGAGTAAAAAATGGTATTTTTCAGATTACAAATTATTTGTATTTTCTAAACATTTATCTACAAAATTACCCCAGATCATTCTAGAATTAATTTGTTCCGAATGTAGCTATTCAAGTCATCTTTAGAAAATTCCTGCATTTATTTCATATCGCACAAAAACCAAATTGTTGCAATGTCAAAGCTGCACAATTAGGGGGGGGAAAAAATCGAATTGCGATTTTTCTGATAAAATTTACATCTTAAAATACTCCACATTTACTTTGCTTGTTTGAAGGGCTTCACAATTTAGCCAGAATTTTATGATTATAAATTAATCTGGCTATAAAATAACAACAACAATAATAATAATAATAATAATAATAATATTTAATACTAAATAAAAATACATCAATAAAAAATAAATATCACTACTGTATTTAAGAAATTTATAATTAATATTTTTAGATAGATAATAAGCTGCTTGTGTAAGAACACTCTTAAATACACGGCGCATATATTTCTCTAATTCAATCGCAGCCTTTGCAATTTGATAATTGCACTAAGCCATATCGCATTTTTGGTTTTATCTCGATTATTAGTGCAGCCCAGGTCTGATGAGTGGCTGATGACTGAAGTTACAGAGTTCAAATGGATAACAGCAATTACCCAAGTCATTCAAATTATTCAATATCCTTGAGTCTTTTTGTCCATCTTAGATCTGTTCCAACCAACTAACAAGAACATAAGAGTCGGCACATGATAATAGGGTCTAAACCACCAATGCGCTCCAAGAAATAAAGCTTACCATGCTTAGATGATGCTAGAGCTGTTGACAATCAGTTATTGCTCACAAAGAACACCGCTCCTCCTGTATGTCCTCAAGAACAACAAAGTGAGAGCAACCTCGTTGTGTTCCTGCTGTCATCGGAGGGCTGTTAGTCATTCTCCGCAGAGTGATTAAAAACAAACACGATTTGGAAGAAAGGCGCATGGTTTCGATTGTGCAAAACAATCTACTGTAATCTTCTCAGCCACACTTCAACATTTTCCACAGTCAAATATTGACACTCTCCAGAAAACATCCATCATGTTACGTTACCTTGCGCTGCTGAGATTTCAAATCTGCTTTAATTTCTTCTGAGACTTTACATGGGCGCCTTTAATACTTTCACTGGCATGTGGGAACAACAGACTGACCAGTCTCAAGGCTCAGTTTAACAATGTACTAAACTAACTAAAACTAAAACCATAATTAATAAAAATGATAATTAACTATAAGTATTATACTACTTATATTAACTACTATAAGTAATTAATAAAAACTATATATTATTTTTCTCTGATTTATTTATTTATTTATTTTATTTATCTCTTTCTGATTTTTGATCGGCTGGCATGGGGGAACGCGGATTGTATAAAAAGCTTTAAATAATATATATATATGAAATACTTTTGTCTACAATGAAATCACACTGAGGTTTGGCTCTTTGCCTAATAATAGACACACATATACAGCATTCAATGACCCACAATGCTCAGGCCAACAAGACAGCAAGCTGAACCCAAAGTAAACCGTCTGACGTCCCACAAGACCACTCCAGAGCAGCCAAACTCTGAGTAGAAGCTGTGGCTTATATCAGCAGTAGCTCCCTAGCGGCATTAGTGTCAGTTCACATGAAGAGCCACTGGCCAAAGCAAAGTCTCTTGTCTGAGCGCACACAGCCAGCGAGCGATTAGCCACACAGATCAGTGAGGTGTCTGAAATCCCACTGACTCAGCAAGAGACGCGTGCAATAGAAGGAAGCGTTATGGAGAGCTGTGGGCAGAGATAGTCTTATTGAGCTCATGCAACTCTTGCTTCTACAAGCATATCTAATAATGTTAAGAGTGCAAGAGTATTATTATGAAGACCTTTATGCTTCAAAAGAAAGAATATAGCAGGCAGTTGTCTGACAGTTGACAACTATAGATTAATAAATGCTAGAAAGAAAAGGCTAATCACAATTCAGCATCTACAGTATCTCACAGAAGTGAGTACACCCCTCACATTTTTGTAAATATTTTATTATATCTTTTCATGTGACAACACTGAAGAAATTACACTTTGCTACAATGTAAAGTAGTGAGTGTACAGCTTGAATAAGTGTAAATTTGCCGTCCCCTCAAAATAACTCAACACACAGCCATTAATATCTAAACCGCTGGCCACAAAAGTGAGTACACCCCCTAAGTGAAAATGTCCAAATTGGACCCAATTAGCCATTTTCTCTCCCCGGTGTCATGTAACTCATTAGTGTTACAAGGTCTCGGGTGTGAATGGGGAGCAGGTGTGTTAAATTTGGTGTTATTGCTCTCACTCTCTCATACTGGTCACTGGAAGTTCAACATGGCCCCTCACGGCAAAGAACTCTCGGAGGATCTGAAAAAAAAAAGAATTGTTACTCTACATAAAGATGGCGTAGGCTATAAGAATATTGCCAAGACCCTGAAACTGAGCTGCAGCACGGTGGCCAAGACCATACAGCGGTTTAACAGGACAGGTTCCACTCAGAACAGGCCTCACCATGGTCGACCAAAGAAGTTGAGTGCACGTGCTCAGCGTCATATCCAGAGGTTGTGTTTGGGAAATAGACGTATGAGTGCTGCCAGCATTGCTGCAGAGATGGAAGGGGTGGGGGGTCAGCCTGTCAGTGCTCAGACCATGCGCCGCACATTGCATCAAATTGGTCTGCATGGCTGCTGTCCCAGAAGGAAGCCTCTTCTAAAGATGATACACAAGAAAGCCCACAAACAGTTTGCTGAAGACAAGCAGACTAAGGACATGGATTACTGGAACCATGTCCTGTGTACTCACTTTTGTGGCAAGCGGTTTAGACATTAATGGCTGTGTTGAGTTATTTTGAGGGGACAGCAAATTTACACTGTTATACAAGCTGTACACTCACTACTTTACATTGTAGCAAAGTGTCATTTTCTTCAGTGGTCGTCACATGAAAAGATATAATAAAATATTTACAAAAATGTGAGGGGTGTACTCACTTCTGTGAGATACTGTATATGCAAGAATATTGAATAAATATTGAACGGTGAATTCAGTAGGAGACATTCAAATGTTAATAGAGTCATTCAGTCTCAAATCAACCAAATTAAGGAAAATTCCCCGGCTCAAATTTTTCATTTTGTTCATATTTTTTCTGTAGAAAGATAAACATAAATAGTGACGAAAGCCAAAATATTAAATGTCATAGATGATTATTTACGGAGTAATCAACTATTTTGTTCAGGGGGGTCAAAACGACAATTTTCACCCGAGATTCTGAGCCAGATTACAGGGGGGTAAAAATGATTTGAGAAAGATGGCAGCATCATTATATTATTTTTAAGATTTCAAAAGAAAAGTTTATGAAGAATGAGAATCTAGAAGGATGTGTAAATATCTTGAATACCTTTAGAGTTACAGGCATGCAAACTTTAGATAGTCAATAACCATTTCATTTGATTTATTTAATTGTATTAATTTCATAATACATTTTGTGGATGTTCACAGACTTTGCATTTACTTTGATTTTGGCACAAACTTTATTTTGTAGGTCATTTATTTATATATTTACAATAATATTTCACTCAATATTTAATCTTTGCTTCATGTGATTAATGTCATTCCAGTGTATTGTAGCATTTGGACCAATCAGACACACCATTTTTCATTAGATTTAACAAATCAATTATCCATTAGATTAACAAATAGTCACAGACCCCTCATCCAATAAACATGCTGGGTGCCAGGATGTCTGTGAATGACACTAGGCCCCTGGTTACCATGGCAACCAGGACACCTCAGCCAGATCAGATCAACTTTAACAACCTAAAAGTATGTAGAGAGAATCTTCCTCCTACTCAAGTCTCTCTAAAACAGACACATAATGCCCATAAAAATGGACTCTTCTCCAATTAATTCATAGGAAAACCTTTCTTTGAATGAACACACATATACTTCAGATCATAGTATATGCTGTTACTGTTCTTGTATATTGTCTTTTGTATTGTATACGGTTTTATGCACGCTTATGATAGAACCACTTGTAATCTTACCTATATGTAATCTTACCATGTTCAGCATCTATGAATTCGTCTTCTGATGATCTAAACGAGAGTGTATATTATATGTTGGTACATAGGCAATATATTAGTGTTCTAAGAATCTTAAGTAATTTTGCATCAACACCCAATCAAATTACATATGCAAAATACCATGCTCAAAGACAAAGAGTCGTAAACTTTCCCTCCAAAAGTGAAAGTCACCATTGGCTCTGTGACCTCCCGGTGGTGTGAGCTCAATAGGAGATAAAGCTCTCACATCAATGACACGTCTCAGTCAGTCTGCGGTTCTGTTAGATTCTGAGAGGATGAGGATGTGGGCTAGAACGCTTCTGCAACTCTTAAGTCTGCACCAGGCTTTGGCCTTGTCTTTACATTCACCAAAGATCCTAGGATCTCAGCTGATGTCTCTCTTAGCTCTTTTTCACTTTCCACTGGGAAGAAACTCCCAATCACCATCGAGTCAGAACATCTTTGGAGTTCATCACTCTTCAAACCCAGTAGAAGGGGATCACAAGTCCAAAACCTTGAAACCAAGAAATCAAGACTTTCATCCGAGACTGCATCCGGACACTCGTTCAACGACCAAGGCAATGCAAGTATCGTACATTTAACTAAACAAAACAGAGGTTTAGTATAAGCGGTAGACCCTGTTGTAAAACGGCACTGATGGTTTCCCTCAGGTGGTTAACGGACTCATTTTCCATAGCTTCATTCCCTGTTCTTCTAATGAACTCTTTCATCCACTTTGCTCGCCTTTTGTATGCACGCGTGAGTGTATGTATGCATGTCTGTTTGTTTGACTAGTTTGTGTTAGTGTTTAGTTAATAAAACTCTTGTCCCATTAAAAAAATGTATGTCCCTTTACGATTTTGATCCTCCCTACATGCTCTAATGCATTAATACTGGATGAAAGTATTTTCTGTGGCCATGAAAATATCCTTCCTAGAGTTGATATGAACTTACACTGAATGTTCGCTGGACGAACAGATTAGTTGAGGGCTATTTAATTCTGCTACAGTAACTACCGGGCAGCTGATATAAATAATTGTAATTAATCATAATTAACTAATTATTTATATACATTTCCCTTTTGAGCTAATTTGCTACAGTATTGTATGTTTGCATGTAGTCGGTTTCACAAATATAAAAATATACATATTAATATGCAAATAAATTTTTTTACATATTTTTTATAATATAAAAATACTATGAATAATAATTTATTTTTCATTTTTAATACAAAATATTTAAAATTATTATTAAAATAAAACAAATGAATTAAATAAAAAATACTCTGATTTTTACAAATATTTCAGATATGTTCTTTATAATTTAAACAGTTGTGACACTGACTTCTAAGTTCTAACAAAACAATGCAATACTGTACAACATAAGCTAAACACTTAAGACAGCAATATTACCCTGGCATGATAGTAATCACATTTGGGAGCCAAGATAACCTGTAGAAACACCCCCTTTCGATATTTACTCGGACCGATGAGGCAAGATGCACCAGCCCTCAGCCTTCCAAACTTCTTTCAAACTGTTTGACAAGCATTGATTTATAAGATCTGATCATGAAATATCGCAAAAATACATCAACAATGGCTGATATCAGAGGGTTATCAGAGACTATTATGCAACATACCTCATTGTGAACCATAAGGATGGTCAAGGTAACAGATTTAATGCTACAGCTAATTTAAACCTATGCAGACAGTTTTTTTTAACAGAGTAAATGACTGACCTTTACCTTGTACAGGAAATCCATTGGTCATCGATCCCGTCTAAACACAAGAGTAAGAAAAGTAATCTAGTTTTCCAAGCAAATCTAAAAGATGAGCAAACAGAAACCCTCCCGCAACCTGTTGTCACATGACCGCAGCAGGAAGAGGATATAGCCCCATTTCACAACGCCAGGCCTCGTTCGAACTCCAATCGCTGATTTTCTAGTCTTCCCCCAAACACACCCCACATCCACACACACCCAAAACCTGCAGTCGTGTCGTCGGGTTGATCATTAACCTTATGGATCAACAGTTGCCTGCCATTAAGAGGCCAGCCAATGTCAGTTAACCAGTTAAGCTCTGTACTTAGACTGAATTATACTAACTAGCAATGAGAAATTCATACCCATTAGGCCATGAACTATAGTATTGTATAGACACAATGACTTGGGATGATGCTGCCTTCACATTTCTAGAACTAAAACTTACCTTTAGTTTTAAAAAATGTGTAGTTTAACAACTTGGTTGTTGAAGATAACAGCATAATGTGTCTAATAAAATGTTATTGGTCAATAAAAATGGTTCTAGGAAGAATCAAACATACACCGACAACTATTCAAACTGCAGGCCTAAAAGAGTAAAGAAGAACTAAACTGAAGAGACTGCATTTGTGTCAAAAGAGAGCTGGCTCTTTAAAGGCAAAACCCTGGGAATGCTGACTCAGCGGAGTGTGGGTTTGGAGAGGGTGCAATTCAAGACACAAAAAGTTGCCGCATATCACTGCAAACGGCTTCAGGAGAAAAAAAACCCTTCAATGTTGTGGGTGAGAAGGTCTTTTAAGTTTCCCGAGTGAGTTTTATAGTATCTGTCAGTGATACTGGGCCATTATAGACCACACGAATAATTACAATGCAGAGGTTTGTTTAGGAAGTCTGCCTGGATCTTAAATGCTATACCCTTTCAAAGAATAAAATACATGAAATATTGTTCACATGTAAAGGAAAAGCACAAAAGTAATGAGTGAGGACACTACTGATGGAAATCTAGGACAAATTATTTATATTTAAATGTGCACACATGACTTACAAAAGAGTACTATAGCTTGACCAAGTTCTTTGGACATGGTTCTATGGTAATACCAATAAATAAGTCAATATTTATTGGCATCTACTTATGTGCAGATGAGTTAGCTCTACCTTCCTGCAGTCCTAAAATCATCAATATAAATGCGAATATAATATAATATCAAAGTGAATTTCAAGCAACTACTGTGCAAATAAATTCATTTACGGTTTAAAATGTTATATTTTGATGTACATGCGACTGCGTACATACCAACTGTATTAGCCTATATTTTATATACTTTATATTTAAAAAATCCTTAATGGTCAATTACTATTGGAGAAACATGTAAATCCCACAGGAATCATTCAACATGTTGCAAGAAAAATACATAAATAGAACTGATTTATAAATTGCATTATATACACTACAATCATTTAAAATGTTTTTTTTTTTATTTTTTTTAAGTTACTTATGCTCACCAAGACTGCATTTATTACAATTTAAAATAACTGTATGCTATTTTAATATATAATATATTTATTAAAATATATTGCAATATAGTATAATAAATAGTCACTGTTTCCACAAAAATATTAAGCAGCAACAACGGTTTTATTGCTGCAGAGTAGCAAATCAGCATATTAGAATGATTTCTAAAGGATCATATGGCAATAAAGACTGGAGTAATGATGCTGAAAATGCAGCTTTGCCATCACAGGAATAAATTACATTTTAAAATATTTTGTAATAGAAAACAGTTGTTTTAAATTGTAATAATATTTAACAAATTATTGTTTTTCTACTGCATTTTTGATCAAATAAATGCAGCCTTGCAGAGCATAAGAGACCTCTTTCAAACTTATTTAAATTTTTTGACTGGTAGTTTATAGAAATTATAATGCTTATTGTAGGATCGGATCATAATACAAATTTTTTTTACCACAATCCTTGACTGAAATACTTTGACTTTTAGTTTATTTTACCACATAAAAGCTAGAAATAAACAAATAAAACCCCACAGTTCATGCTAAATAGCTTTGAACATTTGCACAACTCTTTAAATCAATAAAGCGATTGACTTACTTTGTGAATGACTGAAGCCACAGCATTGGTGAGCTCATCTGAAGTCACGGGGTCACTCATGGTTGAAGCAGCACAGGAGACGCTCAACAACGCTCGGATCTGCTCAGGCTTTAGCCTTTCTCTTTCTCACTGAGACTCAAGCAGGAGTTTATAGGCAGCATAACCTGCAAACAGTTTGAAACTTCCATTTAATAATTTGTTCATTGCTAATTATAACCTGACACTGGTCAACACTGGTCAAATCGTACAAACGTTTGCAGTATGATTAAACAATTTGCTGCTGCATTGATGGCATAAATGGGCTTGAACTACAATATAACAGCCCCCTCGTATCCAAAGACTGATAACAACCAGATAAAAAAAAGTTGCTACTGTAAGGAGACAGATAAGAGACTCATGACGGAAAATAACCATAAAATATTGGATGTGATTTAACAGTAGATTTGCTCAACTTTCATTCATTTGACTGAACACCATACAAAGATTACAACAGTTCAACAGTTGACTGAATAACTAACACTTCATACTGAATTCAAGACAAAATAGTAACACTCTACAGTAAAGTTTCATATGTTAACATGAGCTAACATTATTTAACATGAATTTACAATAAACAATACTTCTATAGCATCTTAACTTCAATATTAACTAATACATTTTTTAAATCAAACGTATCTATTAACATTACTTAAAGTACACGAATAACTAATGTACAACTGTATTTTATTAACTAACATAAACAAATATTAATAAATGCTGTAAAAATGTACTGCTAATATGTTAGGTAATGCATTTACTAATGAGACCTTATTGTAAAGTGCTACCAAGAAAATATACTACCTTTAATACTTGCAAGTAACCAATTTTTAATAGAAAAACAACTTTTAACTGCTAACTGCTAGTAACTAGTACTTTGTGGAAGTAACCTTTGCGTTGGTGCAGTAGTCTGTGCAAAAATACAATTGTTCAACTGTTGAGTTGAGGTTTGACCTCTAACTAGAACATTCAAGGACATCAACTCTCCTTTTTCCAAGTCTTTCTTTTGTTGATTCATCTAAGTGTTTCCCATAACTATAACGCTGAAAGCAACAATTGTGTTTTAATCTAAGCTCTTTAGCAATAGGAGGTTTTGTGGCAAAACTTCTTGATATATGGTGCAGTTTACCCTTTAGCTATCTTGATCCAGTTCCTGTTGAAGAGAAACATCCTAACAGCACGATGCTCAAAGTTAAGGTATTGCATCAAACATATAAAAGTTCTACCATGACCTTATCATCATCACCACATGGTTTTAAAAGACAATGTATATTAAAAAAAAAAAGTTTTATTGTGAGAAACATCTGTAACATTTCATAAAAGTAAATCAAATCAATAATATGCCAGATATAATGAGCATTATTATCATGAAAGGTTTTGCATAAGAAAGTAATCCAAGTAAGTAATAGTAATAAAGTAATCTGGTAATGCAAGCTCAAAATAACTTGACCTTACCTTAAAGATGACCAAACCTATGGTAAAGTTAATGCAGTTGACTCTTATATGACAGGAGTCGCATGTTTGTTAATATGCGGGACCTGCCCAGTTACTCAACTCGGACAGCATCACTGCAAAACCAAGTTCAAACCGCCCCTTATTAAAAAAAAATAGAAATCCTCCTTGCATTATTTTATAGTCATCTTGCAACGGAGTTCTAAGAAAAGTGGTCCCAATATCTTTAAGAGTTTTCTTAATATAGAGCGCACTATATTGTAAAGTTGCAATGTCTTGTTAGATGCTAATTTTAGATATAGGCTGTTCCTCTGTAAAGTTACATCAACTTTGTTGGAAGGTCAACGATTTTTTTCGGACCAGTTGAGTTCATCAACCGCATGATTCAATCACTCTGCGATTAATCAAAAGTTGATACGCAGTTACACAGTAAATTTTCAAGTATCTAGAGGCCAAAAAGCCAGGATGCTAAACCAACAATGTAAACTGGTTTATAACAGTAACAAAAATGATTTCCCAAATCATGGGGATCATCAAGAGTCTCTTGCAAGTATTCGGATACCAAAAATCCTAATGATCGATGGGCATCTAGCAACACCCAATGGAATTCAACAAATAATGACTGTTTTCAAACTGGTTTCCTCAACAAAGTACTTTAACATTGGGAAAATTACACAAGTTTCTCGGTTTAAAAAAGGAAGTGCTTTGAAAACAGGAAGTATCTACAATTGCACAATGAAAGATAAGACCTATGATCTTTGGCTTGCTGTTGTGATGTTGTTGATCAAACGCAACGACCAACAATCAAGTTGGTTCAACCATATAAATATCTATTTATAGTATGCAAACTTCACCTCTGCATTGAAAAACAGTTTTACTAAGAACATAACAGCATATTTTCTTGTTCATGAGTAAAGCAATCATGTTTGTTGCTTCAGTTTCCCTCTCGATTTCCTCCAGAGGTTAACTTGGTAACCACTTCAACAATTGAGATACAGATACCCACAAATGGCTTATTCAATTTAACAATGATATTTTGCTTCTAGCCATTGTGTTTCTGTCTATCACACTTAACCACATATTTGCCAATTCACTGGATCGTTTTGTACACCTTGAATGTGAACACAAAGGACTTTATCCATTGAGATTCAAAGCATTAGCTTTTGGTGGACATGGTCCAACTTGGCAAGAATAAAGAAAGTGGGATCAAATACAACTAATTTCTTGTCAGACAGGTATGCAATTCAAGCCACTGTACATCCACTTGTAGATTTTGCAGTCTAAGTTAAAGTTATCCAACTAACTTCAACTGGAATTCCTCGTCCTGCACGGTTCTAAACAGAGAGCTCAGGATCAAGCGTTCTCAGTTGGGAAAATCCTTGTGCTTTTGTGAAAGGCAAACAGGCTTACTGAATTACATTCAAGCATGTCTATAAAATATAATTTCAGACAAAGCAAAGGCGGCCAATAAAGATGCCATTCTGCAAATAGACATTCAAATCACAATGCGGAAACCTCACTGTAAAAATATAAAACGCTCAATGACTGAGTAGTACAGCAAATATAGAATTCCTAGTTTACTGGTGACCATTGGCTCGTCCACATGAAAGACATGTTTGTGAGTTGAACTTAAACTTCATACAGAAAATGTCGGAAAATTGGTTTGGATCATGCATTATATGGTGCGGCCTAGTGGTTAAAGATCTGGGCTGGAAACCGAAAGGTTGCAAGTTCAATTTATTGACACATGAGCTATCAACTTTGTGTTCATGATCAAGACTTAATCTCCGGTTACTGCAAAGAAGTTTTTTTTTTTTTAAATGAAGTAATTACATATAAAAAGGATAATCAAGTCCAGAACTCTCATTTCCAAGTTTGTAAGAAATAATATTAATAAAAATAAAAACTTGCGCACATAAAAATGCACTTATAAATGGAAGACTATGGGACTGTTTAATGCATTTTTTGTTGTTCTTCCAAAGTATAAATTATTAACTCAAATTGTCACAAGTTTATATCAATAGCCAATCAGATGTTTCTAATTGTGCACCAATTCGCACTTTTGAATCTTTTTCATTAATTAAATTACAAGGTATGTTCAAAAAACTCATTTTTTTAAAAGAGATGTTTACATAATATACTTTGTTGCGTTAAAAAACAACAACAACTAAACAGTGCGCAACGAAATGGAAAAATGCAGACATTTTTTAAAAAGTTGAACATTTTTTTTTACATGATACAGCAGATTGTGGCGTGACGCTTGAGTTTTTTGGCCAAACTAGTCAACCTCACTAACAACTATTCAACTGTTGGATGACTAGTCAATTAATCGACCACAGTGAACCATCCCTATTATTTACAATTATTGATTTAGCAAAAGCTTCTGCAGAAGTTTCTTCACAATACAAATAGTGCAACTGTACCAAATATTAGTTAAGCACTAGCATACTAAACCACAATTATTTTTGGAAAATAATCATAAAAGTTATTTTTCACTTCATATTTTTAATTTCAACTTATTGTTTAAATACGGCACAGTGCTGGACATCAAGAGATGCTCATTGCTGTGAGATTAGTGATATTTAATGACTTTATCAAACTCACAAGACACGCAGCCTCTGAACTGTACATACAAACACACAGATCACAACACTTGATCATTAACGCTCATTAGATTCAAAAGTTACTTAAGGGGAAAAATAAAAAGTACACACTAAATGATGACTGGGCGCTATCAGTAAACCAGTGGACTTTTCACTGTTGACTTTGCAATATCTAGTGATCCGTCACGATATGCTGACTATTTGAATTTCACTTCTAGTTGCAAGTTATAAATTAATAGTACATTGTTGTTATGTTGATATAAACACATCTCTTAGAAAAAAGTTAAATGAAAAAATAAAAATACTTTCAACATTATGCATGTCAAATTTAATAAATCTCATATTAAAAAAAAAGGTGATTTTAAAGTTAAACTAGTAATTACCAAACAACAGCTTTATAATTGTTAGACACTCTTAGAAAACTTAATGCAAAAATATTTGATCTAAAACTAAATTCTGTTTGATCAATTGAGTTGATGATTGAATGACCATCAATTATTACAATTGTCAAAAATATTTTTAAAAAGTAAAATTAATTAAAACTATAAATTAATAATTTGGTACGTTGCATCTAAACACATCATTTTGGGAAGAAAAAAAAAAGGCATTTATTGAAAAAATAAAAAGCATAAACATAGATTAAACATTATGTATCAGTATGCAAAATTTCAGTCACAAAAAAAAAGAAGATAAAATTCGGAGTTAATCCAATTACTAAACCACATCCTTTTTAGATACTCTTATAAAATGTTATGCAAAAATGTTTCATCCAAAACAATTTTGTTAGATCAACTGAATTGGTAAATGAAAGACCACCAATTGTTAAAATAGCAACTAGTTAACTATGTAAAAATAGTAAATTAAATATCATATGACTTGAATGTTTAAAAAAATGAACAGTTAAACAAGCACAATGCAAAATCCATTGAAATGTACTAACTTACCTCAATGTGCTCACTGCAGAGAAGCTGCCGCTGACATCTTAGTGTAAAGCCAACAACCACTGTGTACAGAACACCAGCGAGAGAGAGAGAGAGAGAGGGAGAGAGAGAGAGAGAGAGAGAGAGAGAGAGAGAGAGAGACAGACAGAGAGCTGAG